AAGAAAACAAAAAATACATTTAAAAAATGGAAAAATAATAAGAAATGTTGAATTAGAAAATTTAAGGTTTTGAAGAATTAATTGCTAATTAAAAAAAAAAATTCTTGAATTAACCAATTAGAACTAAATATTTAAAAAAGAAAAAACTAAAATCAAATAAGAAAATGAAAATTTAAATAAAGAAATTGAAAATCTAAATAAAGAAAAAGAATTATTAAAATAATAAAATTAATGTTTAAATATAGAAAATTAGGATTTAACTAATTAAAAATAAAATTTGAGTAAAGAAAATGAAAATTTAAAGAAAGAAAACGAATTAACTATTTAAAAATATTAGTTTTTAAGTTAAGAGTATTAAATACTAAAGCAAACGTATTAATAAACTTAACTTTTAAACCCTTGCGAAGATTAAAATAAAAAATTAGATGATTAATTATAATAATTGCTTATTGAAAATAATTTGTTAAAAAACAAAAATAATGAATTTTAATAATAGTTAAATTTGTTTAATTAATTTGAATAAATTAATACATCATCAAATAATAAAATTGAAGAAAATATAAAAGATATTTGTTAATTAAAAGAAGAAAATAATTAAATTATTAAAGAAAAAATTATTAATAACCTTAATTTAAATAAAAGTAAAAAAAAAAATTCTAAAATTTTATAAAATTTTATTAGTAATATACTTGAAGAATATTAAAATGTAAAAAATAGGTAAAATATAAATAATTTATTTTAATTTTTATATATATTAAAATAAAGATAATCAGAAATAGAAAATCAAAATAATGAATTAATCTAAAAATTTACTTAATAACAAGACGAACAAATGAAATAATATACTTTGAACTTTTAAAAAGACTTAATAAAGTAATTAAGTGATACAATTAATAAATTAAATTAAAAATTAGAAGATTATTAATATCTTATAATAAATTAGGATTAAAAAATATAAGCTTTGATTGAACAAATATAATATTATCAGGAGTCTCCTCTGTAATAAAAATCTTTATTAAAAAATAAAGAAATAGATATCATTTAAAAATCAAACTTTAAAAAAACCAGCAATGAATTTAATATTAGTAATTATATTTCTAATTCATAAAAAACGTAGAAATCACAATTAATGTATAAAATAGATAAGGCTTAATAATTTAAAGTTAATTCATATTTATATTCGAAAATACCCAAAAAATATAGTTCGCCATATTTTGATATCTAATAGAAGTATAACAATTGAATATTAAAAATTATATATTTTTTATAAAAAAAAGAACTGTAACTTTATTAAGATAATCAAAATAAGGTTTTAATAAAAGTTTTGGAGTTGATAAATTTAATATGAATGAAGTAATAAATGATATATAAGATATGAATGAAATTTTAAATAAAGTAATATTTTTTATATAAATTATATAAAATATATATTTATTTAAATCTTAATTTTTATTTTTTGAATATATAAAAAAAATGTCTTTTTTATAAAAAAGATTTTCTAAAATGATATATTTTAAAAAAATACTTTAAATCTAATTTATGGACAAAAAAAAACAAATAAGAAAATAATTTTCTAACAATTATTATAGAGATATTTAAAATAAGTTCAAGAAAAGTAACAAGAAATAATTTCTTTATAAATATAGTATATAGAAAAAAAAATTCCTTTGACAAATAATTAATAAAATTAATAAGTTTTTCTTAAAATTCAATTAAATGTTTGTTTTTCAGAATAAAACTTAAAATAAGATATTAATAATTTTCTCTCTTAAATATAATAATCTAAATTAATTAAAGAGAAATTAAATTAAGGCCCTAAAATAAGAGAATTCACTGCCCAAATAATCCATTAAGAAGGTGAAGTAACCTATAAATTAGTAAGTTCAAGCAAAATCAAGCATTTTTATTTCAATTAAACTTTTTAAGATTCAATAAATGACCTATTAGGAATAAATAAAGAAAATAATGAATATAATTTAACTAATTTTGGTAATATAAATGTATTTTTTACTGTCTATCCTATTATTTAGAATTACCAAAATTGCAATAAAACTTTACAATTAAGTAATAAATTTAACCCTAAAGGCTTATAAATTTAAAATTCAAAAAAACTTCACTTTGCTTTGAATTATCACCTACTTACAATTCTTAAAATGCTTTAAATTAAAACATTAATTTAACTCCAATGAATAAAACAGAAAAAAATAACAAATAAAATTATAAAGAAAATGATGAAATTAAAAGAAATATGGAATTATTAAGTAAAGAAAATAAAGAAATGAAATAAAAATAAAAATAATTAATTTAAACAATTTAATAGTTATAAGAAAATTATTTAAAAATTCATATTAATTTGAAATCTTTAATAAATTCGAAAAATGCTTATGTAAAAAAAAAAAAAATTAATTTTTTATTTTTCAATACAATAGAAAATTAAATACTTAAAAAAAAATAATTCAATATTAACAATAGAAAAAACATAAAAAAAAATATCTAATATATTAAATCGTTCAAGAATAAATAATCTTTTATTTTCTTAAGAAAATGAAATTATAATTTATAGTGAAAATGAAGAAGATACATGAATTTTTTAAATTAATGTATTTATATTTTTTTATATATTTTTTATTCAATATAAATAAATATATCTTATTTAAATTAATACATTTCATATTAATATGTTTTTTTATATAAAAACTATTAAATTTTTTTATAATATTTTTATTATTAAAGTTAGTTAATTCATTTTGATTTTACAATTTATTAAATTTATGTATATTTTAATGATATATTTAGTACTTTTTGCGGAATATTGATTTGTTTTTTATTTTTTTTAAAAAATATCTTTTAAAAATATATTAATGAAATTTTTAATAATTATATAACTTATAATATATTTTTATAATTTCAAATATATTTTAATTGTTTATATTATTTTTCTACAATTTAAATTCAAGATAATATCTATTATTTAGCTTTAAAAGGACTTAATTTACTTTTGAATATATTTTATATAAATTATATGGCACTTTTTTGGAAGAATCTTAAATACCAATTAAATCTTAAAACCGTTATTTTAAAATGAAAGAAATTTCTATTAAAAGATATATTCAGAATTATAAAATAAAGAATTAATATAGAAAACATAGTTCAAAAATTTAATTTATGAATTATATTTGAAAAATGCAATAGCATAATTTTGAAATTATTAATTTTTAAAAATCTCAAAAATATTAAATTTTTATAATTATTTTAAATATATTTAATTTTTGAAAATTTAATTATGAATTTTTTATATATTAAATGTTAAAATTCTTTATTTAATTTTTTCTATAATTATATTTTAAAAACTAAATGAATAAAAATAAATAGAAAATTTCATTTCTTTTAGATTGATTTTTATAAAATAATTAAAGAAAATATATAATATATAATCTATAAATAATTAATAAATTTTATAATAATAAAATAATCTTTTTAAAATAAATACAAATTAAGGAAATATAAAATTTATTTCATAATTAAATAATTTAATATATAATATATATTTAAAAAATAATTTTTATATATATAAAAAGAATAATAAAATTTATTATGATTTTCAATGTTTTATTATTTATAGACTTTGTAAAATATATATCACTAATTAATCATGTTTAACTATATTTTATTTTTTTATATATTATAAATATTATAATATTATACATATTTAAATTCTTAAAAATTTAATAAACTAAATAACCATTATATTAATTTCAAAAAAATAATTTTTATCTTAGTATTTTGAGCAAATTTTATTTAATATTATATTCCATTGCTTTAAAGTTATATTATTTTGTTTTCTTAGTTTTATTCACTCATAATACAAAATTCTTATCTATGTTATTTAAATTTAAAAATAAAATTTGTTTATATAATCATATTAAATATGCGTAAATGAAAAAAAAAAATCTCTATACTTTTAATATGCAATTATATTATTTTCAAATATAAAATGAATTATTAGAAAAATTAAAGAATTAATAATTTATAAACTTATACTATATATAATGATTATTATCTTTTATATTATTTATATAAATTTAAAAAATAATTTTTTGAAAATAATAAATTATAAATTATTGGTATAAAAATATTATTAATAATTATTACAGTTAAATAAATTGAAATAACTATTTTTGAGAGTGCAATAGCATATTTAAAGTAAATGGTTTAATTTAAAAGTGGAATTTAATAAATATTTTATCGATATTAGTAATTTGAAAACAAATATATAAATATTTATAAAATAATAATATATTAAAAAAATTGTTAAATTTTCTTAAAATGCGATTTTGAATATTTTTGATCTTTATTCTTTTCAATTATTGGCTTCTTCACATGTTTTGAATTTACTTTTCATATAAATACTTAATAAAAACTAAAAATATTTATACAAAATTGGTCAAGCAAAAATTAAATTATTTAATTTGATTTTATTTAATTATTTTTTTTTTTATATAATTGGAATAATATAAAAATATAATTTATTTATTTTTAAATTATTAATATAAAATATTATTAATTTATATATCCTTTTTTATTTATCAAAGTTTATAAAATATAAATTTAAACTTTAAAAAAAATTATTTTATAAATATTTATATTATTTAATTTTTTTTTATTTTTTTAATATGTAAATTTAAAATTTGAATATGTTAAATAAATATAAAAGTATTTTTTTTAAAAAAACAATTTATTTTATATATTAAAAATAAAATTTGAAGTAATTCTAATTATCATTTTATTATAATTGAAAATAAAATTATAAATATATTTGTAAATTTTTTTCATAATATTTATATAACTCGAATCTATATTATTAAATATAAAAAAATTATTTATATAGATAGTTTTGCATCTTACAAAATATATATAATTTTCAAAAAATAAAAGGAAACTAATAAAAAAATATAACTAAAAATTAATATAATTAAAACAAAAATTTATACTAAAATAAAATGGATAGATAACAATACGAAAATTACCTTAAAGAAAAACTACATCCAATCCTCGAAAAAATGCTTATTGATTGTTTATAAGCAAAACCTGCTGATCCCGTAAAAAAATAACAAAAAAATAAAAAAATAATATAAATATACTTATGTTTATATATATAAATATTTAAAATTTAAATAATATATATATAAAAATAAGATTCCATTTCTAATATAATGGCTTCAAAATAAATAATGTGGAGGAGCTGCACATGCTCAATCCGCATAAGCTCCTCTTTAATAAAAAGCATAAGCCCCTGCAGTAAAAAATACAATTATTAATAAAAATATATAATTATATATATTTAGAATTAAGATAAAAAGAAAAAGAAATCAAAAAAAGAGTCTGATGAAGAAAAAGCTAGTAGTGATGAAGATGAAGATGATTATGTTGAAGTAGTTTAAACTCATAAGGAAAAAGGTAAACCAGCTGTCGGAAGAGCATCGGTATCTGCCGAAGCTTTTGGTTAATTTAATCAAAAGAAGGCTTTTAAGCCTAAAATAATCTAAAAAAAACCTGAATAAATTTAAAAAATAACCCAAAGATTATCCTAAGCATTTATGTTTTCTGCCCTTGATGATGGTCAAAGAAAAATAGTCATCGATGCAATGGACGAAAAACGATATAAAGCAGGCGAATTGGTAATTTAATAAGGGGAAGATGGAGATGTATTATATGTAGTTGATGAAGGAGAGTTAGACTGTGAAAAAGTATTTAAAAAAGGCGACAAAGCGACCTATTTGAAAACTTATTAACCAGGTGAATCTTTTGGCGAACTTTCTTTATTATATAATGCCCCTAGAGCTGCTTCTATTAGAGCCAAAACAAATGCAATTTTATATTCTTTAGATAGAGATACATTTAATAATATAGTAAAAGATGCTGCAGCAAAAAAAAGAGAGTTTTATGAAAGTTTTTTATAAACAGTTGAACTATTAAAAGATATGGATAATTATGAAAGATCTAAAATAGGAGATGCATTAAAGTCTATTACTTTTAAAAAAGGTTCTTATGTTGTTAAAGAAGTAAATATAAGTGATAACATATATATATATATATGTAAATAAAAAGGGTGATTCTGGTGATGATTTCTTTATGATTGAAGAAGGTTAATTATAAGCTTTAAAGTAAGTTAATCCAGGTATATTTATTTAATTTCTATTTTATCTATTATTTTATATATTTTAATTGATTATTAGGATAGGATCCAGTGGTTGTTAAAGAATACAAATAAGGTGATTATTTTGGAGAATTAGCTTTATTAAAAAATTGTCCTAGATAAGCTAGTATAAAATGCGTCGTAATATTAATATAAAAATAATTATGTTATATATTTATAAATATATATAATAATGTATATATATAAATATATATATATATATATATATATATATATATATATATATTTATTTTTAAAAAATTTTTGTGTTTGACAGACTGATGTTAAATTAGCTACTTTAGATAGATCCGCTTTTAAACGTTTATTAGGTCCTGTTGATGTAAATAAATATATTTATTAAAAAATTTATATATATATAAATAAAAGACTATTTTAGGAAGAAACGCTGATAATTATAAAAAATTCTAAAAATGATAAATAATAAAATAGATATATATATATAAAGAAATACATTAATATTATTATAATTTTATATTAAATAAATACTTATAATAGAAAAACATATATTTAATCTTGTTTAAAAATAAAATAAATATTTACATTAAAAAAATATATTTCATTCAATCATCGAGAATAAATTTTCGGCTGGAGTATACCTAATTTTTAATCCTGACCTAATTTTTTATAGCTTAACGTCCAACCAATAAGTTAGTGAACAATTTTATTCTAAAAATAGCAAATGTAATCTAGGAAAAGCATCTTTGTTTTTAAAAACTCCTTCTATAAACATACCTTTAGGGGGATATTCTTCTAAATTTTCATCACAATTAGTATCTCCGTGATCATAATGTCCTAAATGTAGAATTTTTAACTAAGGATGTTTACTTAATCCAACAATAGAAGCTGAAGTAACCCAAGAATCCCCTGAAAGATCAACTTCTTCTAAATTTGGACAACCTCTAGCCTTATAAAAAAATAATATATATATATATATATATATATATATATATATATATATATATATATATATATATATATATATTTAAATATCATACAAAAACAGATAAATCTTCTTAAATAGGACAATCTCTAATACATAAATACTTAAGGTTTCTTAAGCTTGAGCTAATATGTAAATGAAATTTATCTCTAAACTTCCTTGAATAACTTATGTTTAGTTTTTCTAAATTAACGCATTAGCTTAAATATTAAACTCCCTAATCTGAGATTTTTGCACATTTTTCAAAACAATTTCTTACAATCTATAATTCAATTAAGGTTTCTTTAAATTTCTGCCCTAAAATTTACAATACAGAATCTCCAACCCTTGCACAGTAGTGTAATTTTATATATTTCAGTTAAAATTTAGCCTATTCGAAGTGTTTAAAACCCTCTACACTGAATTCCATATTGAAATTACTTGGACTTCCCCCAAAATGTAGTTCTTCTAAATTCACGCAAAACTTAGATATTACTTCTAAAGTCACATTTGTTAGTTTAGGTGTATTTGGTATATTTAGTACCTATAAATTTTTAAATTCTTTTAATAAAAAGCATAATATTTTATCGTTTATAGGCGCTTTATTTATAGTTAAGGACGTCAAATTTGGACATTGTCTTTATATAGCTTTCATCTCATTTTCGTCGAAATTTTTCTTTCTTTTATTTCTATTTTGGAGCTCTAAAGTTCTCAAATTTTAAATTTTTTAATTAAAAACAGCTGCAAATTCAATATTTATATTGTTTATTTATAAAAATTCTAATGTTTTAGGTATTGACATTAATAAACTATTATAATATTATAATATATATATTTAAATTTAAAATTTACTAACATGTATCAGATGAATTAGCATTAAATGGTAAGTATAATTTTTTTATATTTTTATCACTTTATACTATTTTCATTAAATTTAATGTTTTTATATTTGGTCCTAAAATACTTAAATTTACTATTGCATATATATCCGGATTTTTTTAAATCATACTTTTCCATTTTTTACTTACTCTAGTAATAATACATAAATCCATAACATTTAAAAAGGTGAATATTTTTATTAAAATCTATTCATTAAAATATTATATATTTAAGTTGCTTTATTAAGAATCTGACATTGGAGATTAAGAATGAGAAGCAAAATAATTTGTTCGATTTTTATTGGTTAAATAGTCATTTTTGTTTTAGGATAAAATATTTTTTTTGGGAGTTTATAGCTTATTCATATTTTATATTTGTTATTGAATTTTAATATAATAATTATATAGAAAAATAAAATATAACAATATTAGAAAAATAAAAAAATATATATATTGATTAAATATTTTATATATATTAAAGAAATTCTCTATTTATTAAAGAAAATTCAATCTACTAATAATATTTAAATATGATAATTTTAATTGTTATTTTCAATTTAGTCATTTTAAATAAATTAATCTGATTATAATTATTATTATTATTATTATTATTATTATTATTATTATTATTATTAGTTATTTTATATATTTTCTATAATTATTCTTCTATGTCTACTCTCATATTAATATAAATTACTATTTTCTTAAATTCCTTATTTAAACGCTAATTAAGTTTATACATTTTCTTAATCATTTTATCCAATCACTATATCATTTGCATGTTAGTTTAAGTTATTTAAATCTAAATTTTTTTATTTTATTATTAATTATTTTTATTAAATTCATTTTTATATTTATTATAAATTTCTATTAAATATTTAACTGATAAATCTTATCTACAAAAAGGGCAATTGTTATTATTATTTAGCCATTATTCAATGCAATCTTTATGAAAATAATGTTTACAAAAAGTTTATCTACAAATATCACTATTTTTGAAATTCAAAAGACAAATACAGCATTAATCTGTTTAATTACTTTTATCTGTTTCGCAATTTTGTTTTATTTATTAATAATTTGTATAAGGAATATATTTATTATATAGAAATTCTAATAATTTTATATAATTTTCTTATTATTATTATTTAGATTATATTTTTTGTTTATAACTTTCATTTTAAATACATTAAGTTTTTTTTTTTTTATTTTTTCTAAATTTAAATAATTTAATACTAAGCCAAATCAAAAAAAAAGCCCCTAATAAACCCCCTATTATATACATAATCATAATATTAATAGTATCTGATATAATATTTTCTATTATTTTTCTTCCCATAACTACTTTTATATTTTTCTCTTAATTTGTAACATTACCCTAATATTAAAACCCAATAGTCTACTTCTATAATCATAAATACCCTAGAGTAAGAAACTATTAATATAAATATCAGAAGATTTACCATCTACAACAACCATTTTATAATTATCAAAAGAAGTCGGTAAAATCGAATTTTAAAGACTTTCAATATTAATATAAACCAATAATTTCAAATTATTATTTTTCTCAATATTAATCATCAAAAATTTATTTGTTTAGCTTTCCTAATCGGAATAAAATTACCCAAAAACTATTTTTTCATTTATTTATATTTCCTATACTTTTCCATATTCCATAATAAGAATTTAATGCTTGCAATATTTTCCCGCGAACCCATGATTACAAACGCATGTTCCATCTAAGCATTTTCCATTTAAATTTTGTAAGCAATTATTATTTGGGCAAGCTTTGTATGTATTTAAATTTATTCTAAAATCAATTTCTAATTATAAATTATTCTCAATAAATAGTCCAATATAATACTCTTATGATATCTAAAGTTTTCCTGGCGATATTTATATATATAAATATCCAGTATTTAAAGAAAATCCTTCTATGTCGAAATATTTATAGTCCTCTTAAAAGTTCAATTCTATTTATTTATCTAAATCAGAACTAATGCTAATATTTGGGTATTTTCTTTGTTATATACATAAAACTGGATTCATTTTAAAATATTAATATCGGTTTTACAATATTTAGGCTTCAATAAAAATATATTTATTTTGAAGATCTTATGTATATGTAAATTTAAAAAATTATGCTTAATTAGATTATAAGTAAGATTTTTAGAATGTATTATTGTTTTAGAAATATTATTCGTCTAATATTATATCTTTATTTTATGGATTTAATTATAAACTTATTTAAAAAATTAATATATAATAAATTAATAATATTAGAATTTAAGACATTTTTAATTTATTTTATTATATTTATTTTATTGGCTATTAAGTCTATTTTAAAAATATAATTATTATTTTATTATTAATTGTAAAGAATGGCAATTATATATTTGTATTATTTAAAATGAAAAATTAAGTAATTAAAATAAATTTATTCAAAAAAAAAAAAAAAAAACAGAAAATAAAACAATAATAAAATCAACAATTTTTTAAAATTTTTTATATTTCTTATAAATTTCCTGAAAAATGAGTTTAAAAAGCCAAAAATTCTTCAAAATGTCCCTAAAAACAAAATAAAATATTAATAATAAATTACTAAAAAAATAAAAATTATCAAATAAAAAAATATTAAAAATATATAATATACCTATAGCAAACTTTCTTAATTTATTTTAGCAGCTCTAGGTAAATCGAAATTAAAACTAATTGTAAAATATTAACATAAATACTAAATAGTATGAAGTAAATCAAGTAACTAAAGTCCAAAACTTTCATTTAAAAAAGCTTAAAATAATTCATTAAATATGCAGCTGGGGTCTAAAAGGAAACTATAACTATCTTAAAATATATTCACAATATCATTAGTATTAAAAACCTTAAAAGATTTTCCCAAAACCAAATACATTAAACTCGCAATAATTATTTTTTTTTCAAACCCAATTGTTTTTATATTCATAATAGAGCAATCTATAATTTACATGAATTCTCTATATAAAGAATAAGATTATTCATTTGGTTATTTAAATTAATTGAGGCAATTATTAATTTTAAAGTATTCATATACCAACTAAGAATTTTAAGCAAAAGATGAATTTTCAACAAAAATATCCCATTAGCACATAAACCAATTGCACCACATACTATAAGTAGGAGGATTTAATCTAAAATTAAGTTTCTTTTTTTTTTATTTAAATTTTTAATATTTAAATAAAAAGTACTTCAACTATCGTTATTTCAGTTTATTTTACTTAAATATCTGTATATCCATTATCAGTCGAACGTACAAAATCTTAAATATTAGGTGAATCGATTTCCTTTATTTAATATTATTTTATTATAATAAAAAAATTCATACTTCGATTTTTGAAGCAATATAAAGTGCAGTAACACCAATTAATTAGAGATCAGTTTTTTTAACATTATAAGTTTCTTATAAATATCTATCTATAATACTCTAAGCATTATAAAAAGTATCTCTTTTTAACATAAATTCCATAGAAACTTCCATCATCCAATCAATAAGTATAGCTCTCATATTTGAATTAATATTAACTTAATTTTATAGATAATGGGGATTAATAAGGTATAATTATTCTTATTATAAAATACTATCAATATATGAACTTTAGTGATTTTCGTTTAATTATTATAATTCGAATTCTTAAATTTATTATTTTATTAAAATTTATTTTTGTTCTTTTTATAATTATTTGCTTATTATAGATTCCATTCTTTTCATTTTTTTTATATTATCATCATTTTTATTTATATTTATTAATTCTTTCATTTTCGCTTATATTATACTTTTTTCACATTATTTATTAATATTTTTAATATCTTTTTTATCATCACCACTTTAATTTATTATTTATGTACAATTAGTACTATTATTTTATGTTAAATTAGTTGTATTAATATTATTGGTGTTTTCGAATTTTGTATTGATTATATTTTTATAACTATTGAAATTTTTGCTTCCTGAAATAGTATGTTCATAATCATCGTTGAATTTTCGTATTTTTCTATAAAATATTAAAAAAAAAAAATAGAAAAATATATAATAATTTATATATTTAATTATATGTATAATAAATTATTTATATTATAAATATTAATAATAAATAATTAAATATTTTTCTATAATCTTATTTATTTATTATTTTTATATTAAAAAATAAATATATGTTTTACACAAAAGAACTATTATTGCTAATTGAAGGAATATTTGTCTTAGTATCGAAATCAAAACCATGTTTTTTAAATTCAGAATATTAATAAAAAGCTTCATTTGGATCATTATTTTATTATTTTAAATTTATAAAATCTTAATTTTTATATTAGATATCTTCTTCTTTACACAAAAGGTCTTCAAAATTATATTGATGAATATTAGAGACACTTAAATTCTCGCATACATTTTATGAAAAAGATAATTAATTTACAAATTATTATTATTAATGGATTACTTATTCTTCTTTTTATAATATTAAATTATTTTATAAATATTCATTATTACATATATTATCTGCATTAATATTCAAAAAACTATCATCTTCTTATGAATTATGCAAGTACCATTTTTTAGGTTATTTTTTTTAATTTTATGAATCATAATTGTTTTTTAAAAATTATTATTATTATTCTAATTCTTTTAATTTTTCAATTTCTATATTTTTTTATTCGATCTCTTTAATTTTTGGAATTTCTTAATTTTTTATATATTCATAATTTTTATTTATATTATTATTATTATTATTATTATTATTATTATTATTATTATTATTATTATTATTATTTTTTAGTAAATTTTTTATTTAATCAATTAATAATTGATCATTAATAATTTAATTATCTAAAATATCTAAATTTTAAATATTCTAATTATGTTATAAAGTTAAATATTTATTATTTTTTTATTATTATTTTATATCATCATTATTTAATTTTTATTCTTTATGTATCTCTTAGTTTTTTTAAATTGTATTTATATTTTTTTTTTATTTTTCGATTTATATTTATTAAGCAAAAGTCAAATTTTATTTTTATGTTTAATTTTTTGTTTAAGTATCTTTCTATTTTTCATTTCTATCATTGTTTTATATTATTAAATTATTATATTAAGATTATATATTATTTATTTTAGCTTATATTTAATGAGGATTATTTTAAATCAAATTAGTTGTTATCGATTATGATTTTTTTCTTCTATCTAATTAACTTTGATTTAATACTGGTTAACTTATTGGATAATATTATATCTTTTTCTCATTTGAAATTAAGGTTTCTTTATTTTAAATATCATATAATTTATTTATTTAAGTTTATATTTGATGTTTCTCTTATTGTTTGTTGATTAACTAATTTTTTTAAAAAATTATATATATAATAAATATATATATATATATATATATAATTTATAAATATAATTTTATATATAATATTTTTATCAAAAAAAAAATCTATCAATAAAATAGAATATAAATTAATAAAATTAATAAGTATTTTTCTTATATTATTTATAAATTAAAATTATATATATAAATAAATACTTCTTTTTATTGAACATACATAAGAAATTAGTTACTTGAAATATTATCGTTAGTTTTGAGATTACTGACATTATTTTTATATGAGTTTTATCTTGAATGAGTAGGAATATTCTCATTATTTTTGAAATTATTATTTTCTTTTAAAAGAAAGTTTTTTAGTTATCAATTTTCAAATTTTGAATTTATTATAAAACTTCAAAGTTTGTGTTTTCACAAATGTTTTCTTTATTTTAATAAAAAATATTATTTGCTATTATTTAATTTTATAATTTTATAGATTTAGTCATTTCTGAGTTATAGCGATGATGTTACTTTTTACTTTTTAAATCTATATTTATAAATAAATATTTTTAATAATTTTATATTACATTACTATCAATTTTAACTAACTATTTATTTTCTTATAAGATTTTTATATTTACTTTTTCTTCCTTTTTTATTTATTATTATTACTATTACGGTTAGTTTTAGTTTATTACTTTTGTTTTTTTATTATTTTCTATTTTTACTATCTAAGGTTATATACATTTTTAAATATTTTAAGTAACTCCTTTAAATGTTGCCTGGGTTAATTTTTATGAAATATTTTCTATTAATGCAAAAGATCTATCTCTTCCTGAATTGTTTTTTAGGCTTTCAATATTCATTTTTTATTAATTTTTATTTTATTTTTATTTATGTTTTTTTTTTTTTTTTATTATATATTGTATATATATATTTTTTTTATAATTTCTTTTTATAATTTTATAAAAAAAAATTCAAATTTAAAAATTAAAAAAATAAAAATAAAAATAATAACATCTTTTTTTATTTTATTTTAAATTAATTTAATAATAAAAAAAAATATTAAATATTTTATTTTAAAAAGTAAAAATAATTTCATAAACAAAAACCAAGCAAAAAAAATATTATTAAAGAAGTTAAATTTATATTATATTTTTCAACGTAAAATATTTAAATTTTAATTAAAAAAAAACAAAACAAATAAAAATAAGAAAAAAAAAAAAAAAAACTGAAAATTATATATTTTAAAAATATTATGTAATGTATATATATTTATTTGTTAAATACGAAAAATAATTATATATTTATAAAACATAAATGAATATATTAATTTAAAAAAAAGTAAAAAATCTTCATTTTTTTAAAGGAATTTAAATATCAAAGCTTTTATTTCTATTAACACTGAAATTAAATTAATTAACTGGATTATTTTCGAATTATAAATCTTCTGAATATAAATAAATACTATTAATAATTATTTAATCAAAATAAGTATCTTTTTATTCGCCTTAAATTTATATTTTTCCTAAAAATTACCTATTTCGAATAACACCATTAACTTTAATATTAAAAGCGCAATTTCTATTAATACAAAACTCAATCAAATTATCATCTGAATAATTTCCTAAGGTAATAAATCTACAATATGCTTCATAACTAATACCTACTTTTTTAAGAGCAACATGAATTTCAAAGATATTATTAAGTAATCTTGCTCTATTTTAGTTATTATTAAATTAAGAAAATACAATATGTCCTTCTCTAATAAATAGAGGCATAATTCCATCAAAAAAGACTCTAAAAGTAACATTAGAATGAGTAAATCTTTCCTATTTTGGATTATTAAAAGAATAAAAAGCAGATCCTTCCGGGAAGTATCCAACAACATCACTATATAATAACTATTTATCTTTTTATTCTTCAAGTACTGGAATGCCCAATAAAGATGTTCCAATCATAAACTAAGAATCATTATCAAATAAAGCTTTATCATTAGGAAATTCAAAGAATAGTGGTTTAAATATACTTCCTTTGCCTTCCGCAAGTACAAATTAAACATAATAATACTTCAGAAGTGCATATCTAACCTTCAGATTCTTCCTACTAGCCTCTAATACATATTTTTCTTTAAAAGCATAAGGTTCTTATGAAATAGTATCATTGGCATTATGATTTCTTGAAAAAGGATAAAAAGCTCCAACCTACATCCATCTAGCACACAATTAGGCAGTTGTATTTTTTGCAAAGCCACAAATATCAACTCCTACCATAGGCATACCAAAAAGATTGAAATTAAAAATTTCAGCTAATGAAGATCTTAAAAACGACCAATCAGCCCCATTATCACCAGTCCAATGTTAAACGAATTTTCCTGAACCAGCAATTTATGATCTAGAAATAATAAAAGGCAATTTATTACCCATTTATTTAAGTGCTTTATTAGTAGCTATTCCTTCTGAAAATCCATTTAAATTATGGAAGTCGAATTCCCGGAGTTCTCCAGCCTCATAATGAACGATTCTAGCATCTTTTTTATTGTATTTAAAGGCATCCATACTCATTGTTTTTTCTTATAAAATATGAGCATCTCCACCTACTTCAAAAGGAATTTTAGTGTAAAAGTCCTCTTAACGAATCCCTAAATATTATTCTCCAACAGGAGCATTGGGATCGTTAGGCATTATACATTCTTCATCTTCATCTATTTCTCCATTTATGAAGTTCGATAATTCATTCATATCTATCCAAAATCCACTTGGTTAAATATTATAATTTTAAGTTATATTTTTTAAGCCTTCAACCCAATAGTCTTCAGCTCTCGGATGATTAAAATCTGGGAAATTTACTTTTCCAGGCCATACACAACCAATAAGATATTTTCCGGTTTTGTTCGATTTCTAGAATATTCCCATTTCTTTTCCTCTTGCATTTGATACATCTGCTATTGCAACTCCTGCATCGATTATAGGTACCCAATGTATACCTTCGGAATTATTTCTGTTTACTATTTTTTTTTTTAATTAATTTACAATATATATATATTTATAGATTTACACATAAAATTCATTTCAGTAGAATTATAACGATTTATATCAATTGTAAAATCTACTAATTCGTTCATGTAATCAATATCTGACCATATAGTATCTATAGGAAGGTCATTCTCAATAAATTTTTACCAAACATTTATCATTAAATCGCTATTTTTATATCCCCATCTGCATTAATGGAAACCTTAAGACCAGAAAGGGTGGAGAGTAAATCCATTAATATAATTATGATATTATTTTAAAGCATTATCAGGATATTTATTTCCTAAGAAAACTTTGAATTCTAAAATTCCTCCTACAACCTATATATTATAAAATAAACATATAAATAATGAAACATATAATAATAATTACTTTATAAGTTAATGATTTATTTCTTTAATAATTAACTTGGATAGCGTTATAATTTCTTAAAAAAACAACATGGTAATTGCCTGAAAGTTCTCTTTTTAAATACATAGGATGAGTTCCATAAGTCTAATGATTAGCAACTCCTTCATCAAATGTCATATATTAATCTTTATTCCAAAAGGTATAATTTCCTGAATCAAAAAGGAAAGATCCTCTTCTTTCTCCAAGTCCATATAAATATTCACCTCCTTATTATTAAAAAGTAATTTCATGTAATAAATCGCTATAAACAAACAAAGAGTTTCTAGTATCTAATATTATTTCTCCTGTACTCTTTCTCTAAACAATCAAAGTAAATTTAGTTTGATTAACTTTTATTATAAAGTCATTATCATTAGGGAAATCAAATACTTTATTATGAGGAAACAAATTATTATAAGGGGCTTCAAACCGAATATTATTTCTATCAGTAAACTTTATATTTAATTCCGTATTTCCATTTATTGCTATCTCTACTACTATGTTGCGTATAAGTTAATTTTTATCTAGTAAATAAGAAGTTTCAGGGCCATTATAATTAAAATATATCTTATAATTAGTCTTGTTATAGATTTATATATTACTAATTTAGTAAAAACCTTTTAATTATTATTAGAGTACTTTTTTATCATTAATACTTGAACGAGAATTTTATTGTTCAACTTTAAGATTTTATGATTTCCTTTTTTTTTTTTTTTAAAAAAAAAGTAAGTGCTAAATATTTTATTTTTTTATTTTAATGATTTAATGTTGATTTTTAATAATATTTTTAAATATGAAATATTTTTTTTTAATAATAAACGATTGCATATTTTTTTTATTTACTCTCCATGTAATATTAAATAAAATATAGTTGTTAATAATGCGGCAGAATATATAAGTATTAAAAGGAGTTTTTACAACATTTCTTATATTTTACTTAATTTAAATATTATTAATTAAAGTATGATTAATTTGTTTATTATTAATTAATTTATTATTTATTTTTAATTTGTGTTTTATCTGATTGAATTTTATAATTTTTCAAACAGGTAAAATAATCAAACATTTTTAATTTATTGTATATTTTTTTATTTTTTTAAAAAGAAAAAATTAATAGATGTACACAATAAAATTCAAAAAACGAAATAATAGAAACGAATCATCAAGAAAAAAAAACAATAAAAATAACTAATATTAATAATATAATATATGTATATATATATATATTAAAAATAGATATAAATTATATTAATTTTTATAATTTTACTAAATTATAATTTATCTTGCCATAAAATATATATATTATTATAAAATAATAAGTTTAATTTTTATATTAATCAAAATAATTATAATATTTAATATTTATCCCATTTTTCGTATTATGGTATGAAATAACCATTTTTTGTACAAAATATAAATTAATAGACATTAATATTATTTTTTTTAATTTTATATTTTTTTTTATTTTTATATATTTTAAAGTATGTAATAATATTTTTTATTTTAATTTTTTTTAGATAATAAATTATAGTGTGTGTATTTTTCGAAGTTGAATAATTATTTATTATAAATATTGCAAATAATATTTTTAAATTAATAAATAAATAAAAATAAATTTAATTATTTTATTTATAAAAATTAATAATTAATATATTTTTCATCGTTTTAATTATTAATATTTTCCTATTAAAAAGGTAAATAATAAATAAAAATAAAATTAATTAATTTTATAAAAAACTAATAGAATGATGATTAATTACCAATAAATATAATTTAATTTAATAAAATTAATATACATGTATACATATTTTATTTTTCAATTGTTTTTTTATTTATAATTATAAATTTCTTATTTTTAATGAATTCCTCTATTCAATAAACACCAAAAGACAAGCAATATTAAAAAAATTGTTTTTAATTTTATTATATATATATATAATTAGATTATAATAATTAAGTTTACAAATATGTTAATTAAATAATTTATTTACCTAAAATTTTGAATACGATATATATTAATTAGAGGGAGATGATTTAATAGATGTACAAAATAATATAACTAAAAAAAAAATATTCCATTAACAAAAAAAAATTAAAGTTTATAAAAAAAGTAAGTAATAATAGCTTTAAAGAAGCCAGTATCTTAAAGAAATTTAAGAGACTTGAAAATATTTATGAAATGTTGCCAAAACCTAACATTTTTTCAAAATTAATTCGGTTAAAACTACAAATAAATGTTGTAAGAATGTGTAGAATATTTTAAATACTAATTTTATCAATAAGATCAAGTTGTTTTTCAATAAGGTATATTTTTTTAAATAAAAAAATATAAATAAAAATACATAAAGGAATGACTGGAGATTTATTTTATATTATTTTAAGAGGAAAAGTTAGTATAAATGTAAAAATATAAGAAATCGAAAAAGTGGAATCTAAAAAAGGATAATTTGTTGATAAAGAAACATATTAAACAATAAAAATAAGAGAATTACAAGCTGGTTTAATATATAAATTAAATTAAAATAAAAAAATTAATACATTTATAAAAAGGAGATTCTTTTGGAGAATTAGCCCTTATTGATAAAAAACCAAGAATGGCAACTGTTACATGTTTAACTGATTGTGACTTTATAACTCTTGATAAGACATCATTTGATAAAATATTAAGTTTATATTTTATTTTAATAAAAAATTTATTTTACTTTTATAAAAAATAAATAAAGAAAATGAAGAAATAACAAAATTTAATATAGAAGTTATGAATCTTAAAAATATTTAATTATTTCAAACTTTCGCAACTACTATTCTTAAATAAATATATTTAATTTTATAAATAATTAAATGTAATAAGGGATAAATTATTTTGTAAGAAGGTTAAATTTCTGATTATGTATATATAATTTCTTAAGGGGAATTTAAAGTTAATTTTATTTTTATAGTAATATGTGTTAATAAATATTATTTTAATTAAAAGATTACCAAAAATGCATTAATAAAAGTTGAAGATGATAAAGAAAGTTTTTTAGATTATCGCGAAAAAAAAGTTGTAAAAACATCAATAAACGTACAAAAAAAAAAATTAAAAATTATTAATTAAAAAAAATAAAGTTAGGTATTCTAAGTAGATATTAAACATTTGGTGATGAAGAATTTTTTATGAAATAATAAACTTTAGTAAATATATAATGTATTTCAATGTAAGGAGAAGTAAATTTTAATATTATATATATATATATATATATATATATATATATATATATATATATATTTATGCAAATTAATTATTAGTTAAGAATGCTTAACAAAAAAGATTTTATTAAAAAATTTGGATATGATAATATATAAATGAGCCGATTAAAATAATTATGTGAATAAAAGAGATAATTTCGGTTGAAATAAATTTAATAAAGTATTATTACTTTTTAAAAAATAAGCTAAATAAAAAGCGATTAAAATAATATCTAATTTATTTAACCGTACTTACAACAATAACAATAATTAATAGGAATATAAGGGGCAGAACAAAATTTAATTTTAACAACTAATTAAAAAAAAGCTGAATAGCCATTACAATATGAATAATAATAACAATTAAAATAAGTATAACAATAGTAGTAATATTTTCCTGCTTGTTTTGTTAAAAAAGTAATTAAATACAAAAAAAATTCATAAGATTATTTAGAACATTTATAAGATTCTTTGTTTAGTCCTAAATCATAGCATGGTATATAAAAAAAAAAACATTAGTATTTATTTTTTAAATTTAATAAACAAAGATGAATTATTATTGCCATCATTTAGTTAAAATATAAGTTAAAAGAATACGAGCAATATGAAATTTGATACTTAATAAGAATAAATATACTTAAAAAAAAACAATTCAACAGAAAAAAATATTTTCCAATAATCAATCTTTTCACCCCGATAATCAATTTAAAAATAAACTGAAGAATAAGAAGAAATAGAAGAAATATAATTAGAGAAAAAATATAGTGATTTATAATAAAAAATGAATATAAAAAATCGTAGAAAAAACAAAAGTGCAAATTGTATTTTTTTCAGGAATTTAGATGAATAATAGCAGGTCAATAAAAGTTTGCATCTTTGTGTATAAAATAGAAAAAATTATATTAAAAACTAAGTTTAATTAAAAAAATATTTTAGTGATTAAGAAAAAGTCAACTTTAAAAATAAAATTAATAGAATTTAAAAATAAAATCAAATAAACATTTATTTACATGAAGAAAATAATAAAAATTTTATAATAAAAAGCCTTCAAAGTTAAAAATAATAAAATTTAAATATAGAAATGTTTAATTCTTTACCTAAATCTCGTGTTAATTTATAAAAAACATTAAAATTTCATAGTCCTTTTTATAATAATAATATATAAAAAATAAATTCTTGTGATATTAATTTCAATTTAAATAATAAATAAGTACCTAAAATAAATAAATCAGAAAAAAAATTAAGCTTTTTATATGAAATTAGAAACAAAAATGAATTACCACTCAAATATTATAGTAGTGCTATAAGATATAATGCATAAACTTTTAATAATGTTGTATTATTAAAATCTTAAATATAAAAGTAAAACTAAACTTCTAATGATATAATAAATAAATTTAAAAACAGTTAAATGGATGATATAAAAAAAACATTAGTTTTTAAAAAATATTAAATTTGATAAAATATATATAAAATATATATAATATATATAATTATTAAAAATAATTTTATTTTTTTAGCAATTAATTAAAAACATTATTATATGTTCGCAGATTTTTATATAATTATAATTTTTTAAACTAAGAAAATAAAATATATAAATATATTAAAAAATTTTATTCAAAAAATGACTGATACAACTAATAAAATGTTCTCAGAATAAATTTAAAATATAAATTAATAAGAAACAGATATTTTCAATGATTTTAATACTAAAGTAATAATAAGATATACTAGACTCTCTCCAAATTAAAACTTTCACTTTTAAAACGTCAAGAAGTCTTTATTAAATCGATTTGAATAAGAATATCATAAATAAAATTCTAATTAATCCTAATTATTATAAGTAAATAAAATGATACTAAGATATTAAATAAAATAATCTAATGAATAAAATTAAAATAATGTTTCGTAAAACTTATCTCGAATTTTATCTGCAATATCTGAGTTTAAATAAAAGCAAATTTAAAATTAAATAAATTTAAATTCTGATATGAATTAAAAATAATAAATATTAACATAAAAATATACTAAATTTCCTAATCTTAATACTAAACAATATGAATTTATATAAAAATATAATAGAATAGAAGCTGAGAAAATATCTAAATAATATATTATAGAAAATCAAAATATTGATTTTAATTTGTATAATTAATGCTTCAAAGCTATTAATTAAACTAAAATTAAAGTAGTTAATTCATTGGATACACCAAAGTTTCCGGATTTTATTAATATTTGAAATTTTAGATTAAGTCTGTACATATTTTATATATATATATATAATATTAATTTTTAATATTAAATTTTTATTTATCTTTTTTCTTATAAAAACACATTCGGCAAACAAACAAAATAAGGCGAAAAAATAATTGATTATGGCTTTATTATTTTTTTTATGTTAGTTTTTTTTTAAAAATATTTGACAAAAAATAAAAAAACAATGCTAATAAATATTATATATATAAAATTGTTTCTAATAATAATAAAAATATAGTTTTAATTTTCTATTTTAAAATTTAAAAATAATTATATTTACTAATATATAAAAAATTTATAATGTAATTTAATAACTTATAATATTTTATATAATAATTTATAAAAATTTAATACTTATTTTACTATTATCCATTATTCTATATTTTTATATTTCTAATTATCTATATTTTATTTATTTTTTAATCTTTTTTTATTTTATAAAATTAAGATTTTTAAATTAAATAATTTATTGTATATCGTGCGTGAATTAATTAAATTTATATTGTTTTTTAAATTATTCTTAAAAATAAAATTCGTCTTAATTTAATTTAATTTTGTATTTTTCATATTTATTATTATTATTTTATTAATTTACTACAAATAAAAAAAGCCGAAAAAAATTATTAAAATATATTCAATAAATACATTTCAAAGCTAATTATATAAATAAATGGGATTTACAATATGCAAAATTTACTAAACAGAAAAGATTGATAAAGAAAACATTCGAGAAGACATAATAAATAAAAAGGAATAAAAGTCTTCCTTAATTTCTAATTATAGTAATTCTTTTTTAATATAAAAACCAATAACTGAAAAAGGTATATAAAAAAAAGACAAAAAAGACAAACCTACTACTAATATAAAAATATTTTTTAAAAAAATAAAAAAATAGAAAAAGAATGTAAATAAACTGATAGTTATTTTCAAAAAGAGTAAAGAATAGGTGAATATTTTTGCGGCGGGCAAGAAATGGAGAAAAACGCCCAAAGCTATAAAAAACGAGAAAAGACATTTAAAAATTTTCTAATAAAAAGTTAGAAAAAGAGCAAATAATAAAAAGCCAAAAAACAACAAAAAATATGTGAATAATTATTTAAATAAAAATTCGATAATCTTCTTTTACAAATAAAAGATACTAAAAAATTAAAATAAAATATAAAATTAGGCCCTCCCATTAAATATAGATGGGCAGCCTGGAAATATCATTTATTTAAGTAATTAACTTAATAAGACGTAGATTTATACAATATAATAAAAAATGCTTAATCAAAAGACGAAACATAAATAATTAAAGACTTAAATAGAACATTCCCCGATCAAATTTATTTCTAACCAAAATCTCCTGAACTAAAACAAGAAGAAGATTTTTAAAACGAAAGTTTAGAAAAGCTAAGAAGGTAATAAAAAAAAAAAAAAGAAAGAAATATATATAAAAATAAAATAAACAAAAATATAGAATTTTAAGTAGTATATGTATAATATATCCAAATCTAGGATATTGTTAAGGAATGAATTTTTTGATAGGTTTTATGCTATTGGTAAATGGCGGAAATGAATAAGAAGCATTTTTAATGTTCAAAGTACTCGCAGAAGACCCAAATTTTATGTTAATGGGATTATACGAGAATGATTTTCCAATGTTAAAATTTTTAGAGTATTGTGTTGGGAAGTCTATGAAAAAATATTTAAAGGAAGTATGGAATCATATATTATTTTTGGAAATCGAATATTCATATTGGTTAACAAAATGGATTTTGACGCTTTTTTTATATTCTATTCCTATATAATGTTGCGCTAGACTATGGGATTTTTTAATTTCGAATTCTATTTTTGGAATATGTGAACTTGTGGTGTCTATGCTTTATGTATTATAAGATAAAATATTATGTTTAAATGATTAAATTTAATTCATGTAATTTTTCTAATCTAATAATTTCGAAAAGCTTAATATGAGTTAAATTGTTGGTTTATGTGAAAAATTTCCTGTCAAAAACTCCTGTATAGCTAAATATGCCAAAAAATTTATTTTAAAAGTTGAAAAAGATAATCAATATGCTTTATTATATTCTTTTTTATGTAATTAAAAAAATTCTAAGAAATCCATAGTATAATGATTAAATAGAGGAGAAATGTAATCAAAGAAAGTAATCTTAGTTCTTTTATTAATAATCATTAATAAAATAATAATGAAAATAATTAATTATTAAAGGATTTGGAGGAAAAAGATGATGAAGAAGAAAAAAACAATCATTATAATGATAATAATAATAATAATTTTGAAATTTATAATTCTTAAATAATGAATGAAGAGTCTATTGAATAATATAATAGATACTTAAGAACCGAAAATTAAAATTTAATCCAAAAATATTCGTTTAAGTGTTCCTTTAATTAAATAAATAATATAGATGATATTAATTATAATTGGTAAAATACATTATATTAAAATAATACTATTGCTAACAGCTAATTATCTATAAAAACAAAATACATTGAAAATATAATTATAAATTGAATATTAAAAAAAAATATTATTTTATTATATATATTTATAATAAATTATATTGTACATTATTTATTCTTTTTTATTTATATTTTAAAAAATTAATTTTTTATTTTTGTTATATGTATTTTTATCTTTAATAAAAAAAAAATTCAGATTTTTTTTTTTTTTTTTTTCAAATCATTTGAAAAATAACTTTAAAAAATAAATTCAATAAAAATAATAAAAAAAATTAATTCAAAAATGAATGATTGTGATTAATTTAAAATGATACAATATGAAGAATTTATACGTTCTGAATATGATTCAAGTGAAAAAGATACTTCTTTATTAAAATCTAATAATAAAGTTAATATTTAATTATAAACTGATTAATATTCATCAGAATATGAGTAATATCAAAAAGAAAATTGAATATTAAAAAAATAAATTAAATAACTTCAACTAGAAAATAATTATTTAAAAAACTAACAAGAAAATTCAAAAAGTCAAGATGTTAAAATGTTAAAAAATATATATTTTTATAAAATTTATATATTTAAATTTTTATATGCATTTTAATTTTTTTAGATATAATCAAAATGATAATTTAAATGAATAAAGAATATAGCAAATGCAGAAATTAATAATAACATAGAGATAATAATTAATTTAAAAAGACGAATAAATAAAATATATATAGGATAAATTTAACTAAAATAATTAAAAATAATATATAAAATCTGATAAAGTTTAATAATAAGAAGAAGTACTATAAAAAATGAAACAAATTGTAAATATAAAAAATTAAAATATATATATATATATATATATATATATATATATATATTTATATATATGTTTATATATTTTTATTTTATTTTTAGATTTTTTCATTAATTTAAAGTAAAGAAAAAATTTGTAATTGTTAAGGAAATAATAATTTATATAATTAATTAAAAGGTTATTTTTTTAATTTTTATATTATAATAAATTATTTTAAAAAGATGTTTTAAATTCTATTATTAAAATTGAAAAAGAAAAAAGTTTGGATAAAATTGATTAATTTATAATAGAAAATAAAAAATAAAAAACAAATAATAATTTCTAAATCAATAAATTTGAAAGTTTATTAAATAATTCTTTATAATTATATCTATAAAAAGTATTTATTTAAAAATATAAAAGCCATTTTTTTTTTTTTTAGAATGAAGTAAATTGTATTGGTGATTATTTACTAAAACAATAAAATTAATTAAATACAAAATCCAGTAAACAATTCTATTATAATATACATAATAATGGACAATAATCTTTAAACGAAAATGTAAAAAAAATAATTTAAGAAAATTAAATAGAAAATAGCATATAAAATTCGTTTTATAATTTATAAACGAATAAAAATTTAGAAGGAGGTAAAACCTTATATAAAGGAATATCAAAAAATCAATAATTTAAAAATAATTATGATAAAAGAATATAAGTAATATTTTTATTAAAATAATATATAATAAAAAATAAGGAATTATAACAAAAATTAGAAATATTACAATATAAAAGGAAGAATTATTAAATAAACAAGGTAATCTTTTTTATTATATTTAGATAATATATAATATAATATAATAAATAATTTAAAAAGGAAATCGAATAAAAAGAATTAAATGAAAAACTTTCAGAAAGAAAATAATAATAATAAACGAATTTTAACTAAACTCTTCACAAAAAAAGTCATTCAGACTAAATGCATTTAAATAATTTCAATTTAACAAATAATTAAATAAATAAAAATATTATTTTAAACCATGATATAATAAAAAATTATACTAAGAAAAAATTTTACAATAATAAACCTAATTCTTAAGATAATAAATTCTTTTCTAATTTAAATGAAAATTGCATTTAAAATAATACCGATTATAACTCATTAAATTTAAATAAAGAAACTTTTTCACCTTCTATTTAGAATAATAATTTCCATTAACAAATATAAAATAATATACTCTAAAAATCCACTTTTATTAGTAAATTTTTTGATTAATATAATTAACTTTTATATATATTAAAATAAAGAAAATCAAAATTATACGAGTAATATTTAAGATAAAAATTAGGAAAATGTTTTAGTTTAAAATAATTACTAATAAAATAAATTTATAGATTCAAAATGTGCTAGTTTAATTTAATAAAATATTAATCTATAAGAAAAAAAAATACTAATAATTTTAATTCTTTATCATAATTTTTTAACTCAAATTAATTAAAAAAATAATGTAATTATATATAATAATATAATTATGTTAATTTTTTCTAAATATATATATATAGATATAGATAGAAATATAACCTTTAATAAAAAAATAAATCATCAAAATATATAAGACGCATTATGTAAAATAAAAAAAGAAAATATAGAAAAACAATTTTATAATAAGTGATGAGATAAAATAAAATTAAATAAAATATATATATATGAACAATTAATGTATATATAATTTAAATTTTTTTATTCATTTAATTAAAAAAAATGTAATATTAATATTATTTATATTTTTATTTTATAAATTAATAGAAATATAAAGTGTTTATATAATATAATTTTTATTAAATTGAATATAAATAAAAAATAATAATATTATAAATCAAAACTTATTTGTAAATTATAATTGGTAATTAAATATTAATTTAAAATAAATGTTCTTTTAAATTTAAAAAACTCTTCAATTTGTTTTTATAATCATTTTTATTATAATTTTAATTAGAAAAAAAACATTATAATTTATAAAATTATAATTATATTATTATCATAAATAGGTTAAATTATATATCTCTAACAAAAAAAAAGCATATTTTTTAAACCAAAATTTAATAAATACATATATAAATAAAAAAATTTAAAAATGCAAAACTTTATTAAATTTTAGAGAGAAGATTTTATGTAAAAAAAATAGAATAATATTAAAAATATTATATTTACAGATAATATAGATAAAAAAAGTAATAATAAAGAAATAAAAGACAAAACTAATATAAAAAACTAAAAAAGTTATAATTATTAATTAATTAATTAAATAGTTATTAAAATATTTAAGATATTAAATTATATAACATTATTAATATTTAATATTTAATTTATTAAATATAATAAAATAAAAAATATAATATTTAATTTGAAATAATTTTTTATTAAATATAAATATTTATATAAAACAATTTATTAAATAATAATATAATTATATTATAATTATATATATATATAAATATAAAATATTTATATTTATATATAAGAATATATTTATTTATAGATTTTATTTATATGTTAATTTTAAATATATTTAATATCCTAATATACTTATATTTTTATATATTTTTATATTTATATATAAAAAATTCTTTTATTAGATATCTTTAATTTTTATTTTAAAACTTTATATATTTTATATCTATTCTATTTTATTTTTAAAAATTTATAGAAAAAATATATAATTTATTAAATAAATAATATATTATTGCGTATTACATTTTTATTTATTAACTTAATTAATTACATAATAAAATATTTTTTATTTAATAGAAAATGATATTTAATATTTATCTTTAATTTATATTAATTAAATATTTTTTTAAAAAAATCATAAAATAAAATATATATTTAATTTTTATTAAAAAATAAAAATATATATTAAAAAAATTAACAAAAACCTTAAAAGAAGAAAAAAAATTTTTACATTATAAAAAAAATTTTTGTATATAATAAAAATAAAATCAATAAATTTTAAAAAGAAAAAAAAGTTAGAATTAAAATTTATAAATAAAAAAAAAATATGGCAAAGAATTAGGTTGAAAGAATTATTTTTACTATATTCTTTGCTTTTCTTCTTTTAGACATAATAATAGTCCAAAACTAAATGAAAAATCCAGATTAACCTTCTTAACAATAAAGACCATAAAACGAAGAAGAATAAGAAATACAATATACTTAAAATAATAACTAAAGTTAAGATAAAAACTAAGAATACTTAAAAGAAGAAATATAAGAATAAGATACAATCCATAGTTAAAAACACTATAACAATCGTGAATAAATACGTCCTAAATAAGAAAAAGAAGATAAAAATATATAAATAAATAAATTATTGTTTAATATTGCATTGGGTGATCTTATAAAGGAAATTTTATTTAATTAAAAAATGCGATAGATTCAAAAGTTCCTAATGTAGATATTATTGGAACAGAGTACCCAGCCACCCCTTTAAATCAATTTTTATCAAAAATAATAAATGTTATATAAATTGGAGGAATTACATTAATTATTTTTGGAGAAAAAATATTTTAAATTCTAAAAATAAATAACTTGCCAGATACTTATTATAAAATTTAATAAAATAAATGGACTGCGGGTATATTCTTATTTTTTGTAGGAAATATGATTAGTGGAGCTCTTTTATAAACAGGAGCTTTCGAAGTTATTTGTAATGATGAACTTATATTTTCAAAACTATAACAAGGAAGAATGCCTAATTTAAATGAAATTATTTTTGCTATTTAAGAAATGTGAAAAAATTAGTATAAAAGTAATATTTAAATTAAAAAATATAATAATATTATTTTATTTTTAAAAAAATAAAGGAAAAATATATTAATAATAAGATCAATAAAATTTTTATATTCATAAATGAAGTGTAAAGATTTAAAAATCTAAATATATAATTTATATTATATATAAAAGTCTTTATACTGAAATAATAATTAAAAGAAGATAATTGTTTTATTAATAATCTTATTTATTATATATTTTAATTATAATAAATTATTATTAAAAAATAAATATAAATATAAATATTTATATATATATATATTATATATTATATTTATTTATTTTTACTTAAAATTTTGTAAATTTTATTATTTAAAAAAAAATAAAAAAAATTTTAATCGCATATAAATATTTTATTTGATCATTTTAATATATATATTTTTTTTTTTATTTTATTTTATATATTTTTATTTAAAAAGTGAAAATAAAAAAAATATTTTTTTTAGTACATTTTCACTATAATAAATAGCCTCTTTTTTTATTTATTTATGGGAAATTGTCTTAAAATATTTTTTTGCAAATTAAAAGAAGATGAAAATAATTTTAATTAATAACTTTTACAAACAAAAAATATAGAATTATCTAGATTTAATGATATAAGTTTAAGTGACTAAAAGCCGGAAATAACATTAGAATTATCCGAAATAATGCAAAAAAGGATATTAAAATAATGTTCTTAATAATTTTCTATATAAAACGATATAATTTATATACGAAATAATAATAGTTTATAAGATATATATTAAAAATTATGAAAATTATTTAAAAAAAAACATTCTCCAATTTAATTTCAATAACAAAAAAAGTAATATTTTTTTAATAAATATGTAAATAACTTTATTTACTAAAAAAATAGATATATTTAAAGTTATAATAATTAATTATTATTATAAAACCTTATAGTAATATATGTTTTTTTATTTTATTTTAAGAAAACATTTTTTTTTTAAAAGTTTTTAAAACATTAATTTTTATTTTTTTTATTAAAAGATTTGTATAAACTTATTTTAAATATAATTATTATTTAAAAAATAAAAAATAAATATAATATTATTTTAATAAAATAATTAAAAAAATGGGAGGAAATAACGAAAAAATAAAATCTACATTTGATAATGAATAATTAGAAGAAATAAAATAATGTTTTACTAAAATTTGTATGAAAAAAGATGGGTATATTATAACAAAAAATATAAATATTATATATTAAATATTTATTTAATTTTATAAAAAAAAAAAAGTAATAATGGAACAATAATAAGTCAAAATGGTTTAAAAAAATATATGAAGCCAAATAAGGACTTTTCATTAAAGTTATATTAATTTTTAGCTTAATAAAATATTAAATAATAGTTAGATTTTTAAACATATGTTTATTTTGGTATATATTAAAAGATAAAATATAAATCATATATTTATTAATATTTTATCTTATATTTATCTATTTTTAATATAAATAAATTACCGTTTTTAAATATAAGTTGAATTTTTTGTTTAAAAAACGAAAATTTAAGAACAAAGGTAAGATATAATTAATATTCAAAAGTTGAATTATTTGCATGTATTTCTATGTATGAATCATTAAATATAAAGAATATAATTCACGACAAAAAATAACTTAATTCTTCAAAAGTAACATATCGTTAAGGAATATAATTTTTCAAAGTATTAAATATATATATATATATATATATATATATATATTTATATTAAATTTTTTAATATATTTTAATATTAATAGGATTTAGTTCTATCATTTATGTAAAAGAAATAATTAAAAAGTGAAAAAAATAATGAAATTGAAGCGAAATTATTAACTAATTTAATTTTTGTTAATTTAAGTTAAATAACATTCGAAGTTTTTATTTAAAATTTAAATTAAAAATTTCCAAATATCGAAAACTTTATTATTTAATATTTTTCACGTTTTTTCATAAAAATATAAAAATAAAATATCTACGAAATATATTAAAATTCCTAAATTCTAACTTACAATATGTTATCTTTATTAAATTTAACTCATTCTTAAGTAAAAGCTTATATATAAATATTTTTACTGTATTTTTTTATAAATAAAACAAAAACAACAAATAAAAAATGCAAAAATAAATAATAAATTATAGATTTAAAATATAAATTTGATATTTTTTTTTATTAAAAAATAAAAGAATAAAAAATAAATAAATATATATATTTATATTCATATATATATATATATATATATATATATATATATATATTTATATACATATTTTTAAAAATTAAGTTAAATACATGCTTTTAAATCTAATTTATTTACGGAAATCATTTTAATGACATAAATTATGAATAGTTATTTACTATAATATCATGCTATTAATAAAAATAAAATTTATTGATTCTTTTTAGACATTAAATTGAAAATCTGCCTAACTTAAGTGAATTTGAATATGCGAAATCAAGAAAAGCTGAAAAATATGGAAAATAAAAGTCTATTTTCGGACTTTTTGTTGGAAAATATATTGATAATTGTTCTTTTTTTAAAATAGAGCCTAATTTAGCAATATTTTCGAATATTAATTCTAGTCAAAAATTCTTCTAAATAGACTAAACAGGATTAGGTATATATTTCATTTAATTTTTAAAAAATAATTTTTTTAATTTAGTTAGTTTGTTTAAAGGCGAAAATAATATTTTTTTCTTACATAATAAAGTTAATGAAGAAAGTTATATTAAAAGTGAATTATTAGAAAATGAAATTGATGATGATAAAGTTATGCATTTAAAATTAGACTAAGTTGAAATTTGGGCTTTTAATGATTAAGTTATTATTGAAAATCACACAACTGCTGTTATTGACGAATATTAATAGAACACTACAAAATTTTATACAGATGAAAATGTTTAATATCAAAAAACAATTTAATAAATACCATAATAATAGTTTGGTGTTGATAATGATAATTAAAATAATAATATTTATTAAGAAAAATCTTATGTTTATTAAGTGGGAGAAAATTCATAATAATATTAAAGTGGTAATGGTAATAATAATTACTAGTTTTAAATAAAAGAAATAAAAAGAAATAATTATTGAAGAAGAATTATTTTATTTATTTTTTTAATAACATATAAAATTAAAATAAATATATATATCTTATAAATATATAAATTTATATTTTAAAATTAAATTTTATTAATTTATATAAATTATTTTTAAATATGAAAATAAAAAAATATATTTATATATAAATATACATATATATATAATATGCATTTTTTTTTAAATATAATTAATAATTTATATCTCAAACTTATTTTTCATTTTTTTTAAATAATTTTCTAATATTCATATTAATGAATATAAATCATTATTAATTTATAATAATAAACAAAAAATATAATAAATTTAAACTAAAAAAACATTGTCAAATAATAACAATCGAATCTAATATAATATAATAAATATATATTTTTTTTATTTTTTCTAAAAAAATATATAAAATACATATATTTATATCAATAAATATTGTAATATTTACTTTTTTTTTAAAAAAAAATAAGAAGTTAGAAAAAAAAAAATCAAATATAAAATTAAAAAGCCATATTTAAAAAACAAAAAAACAAAAAAAGTATATATGAACATAAACCTCAATTATATAAACACTTAATTATCTGACTTCGACGAATCCACGTATATAGAAAAAGCACCCGAAAACAAAACTGAAGTTATCCAAATAATCCTCTAAACCCTCGACAACTTCGGTTACACCCAAACAATCTAATAACTCCAACAAGAAGCAAACATATGACTCGAAAACAACCAAATAAAATAATTCAAGACCCTTATATAAAATGGTGATTTCTAAAATTCAATTGAATTTGCAAATAACTTCCAATTTTCCTCCCCTTAAGACCATATTAGATGTAAATTTTTAATATACCGCCAATAATATTTCGAATATATACAAGCCCAAAATTTCCAACAAGCCGTAATCCTCCTTTAAGGTCATTTAAAAGAATACACTGAAAATTCGCCTTAAGATCTTTAAAAGCTACCCCCATTACTAATCTATAATAAGGAAAATGAAATACAGTCTAAAATATCCTAAATAATAACAAATAATAATACAAAAAATCCTCCATTAAATAACTCAGTCTAAGAACAGCGAAAAATACTCCTCTAAGACATCTAAAAATAGACTAATCCCCAATAATTTATTTGCATAAACAACCGATTAAACTAAATAGTCAAATAAGCCAAATCCTATTAAATTTTAACATGTAAAATACACTCCAAAATTGACCCAGATTTCTCCATTATAGAAAATCATAAATGTTCTCCCAATTTTTTGCCTTAAACTGTTCTTTTTTCTTCCTAAATACATTAAAATGAAGTCTGGCATGCCCAATTTTCTTCCAATGGCTTGTTTTTGGCCACTATATGTGATAAATCCACCCTTATTATTTGGAAAGTATAATCCCTAAACGATTTCTAAATAGAACTTTACGCAAAAAAAGAAAGCATACACTAATAAAATGTCATAACTTGCCTAAAATGGTTCCCTTAAAACAACTCTAAGATAATCACCTGTTCAGAGGACAAAAGTATAAAAGTCTGGTCTATTCAAGACTAAAAAATACTCGAAAAATATACTATATCACACGAAACTTCAATCATTATAAACAACATAATAATTCAATAAGACGGCAAAAAGCTTCTTTTTAGTGGTCTAGAAAAAAGCCTTTATTAGTGGACTTTCGAGGAAAATGTCTTTGAGAAAATCCCCTGCGAATTCACCAATTAAGACCTCTATTTACTTCCTAATAATAAAGAAATAGTCCTTATTTCAACCGAAGGGAGAATTTCCATAATTGACGTAAACACCAAATAAGAAATAAGGCATTTTCAGGAAAAAAATATAGTCACAAGTTCCTGTTTATCCCCAAATGGAAAATATATACTTCTAAATACATATGGTCCTAAATATATAAGTGAATTACATTTATGGAAACTGAAAAACTGTACACTGGAGAAGATTTTCTAAGGATATAAATAGTCTAAGTATATGCTAAGACCAAGTATTAATGATAAATATGTGAGTATAGGAAGTGAAAATGGATAGATTTTTATTTGGCATATTAAATATGATAAAAGTCCTCTAATTATTATTAATATTTAAAATAATAATATTAAATTTAATTAAATTGATATTTATGATGAATTAAAATAAATAAATAATAATAATAATAATGAAATGAAAATTGAAAATGATTAATAAAATGTAAATATATTTTTTATTTTTTTAAAAAATATTTTTTTTAGTATGAAAATTCTATAAACTAAGTATAATTTCATCCTAAATTTTAGAATATTTTAGTTGCCGTAAGTGATGATAAATATATAAGAATTTTCGGAAATAAAGAAAAGTTAATTGAAGCGGGAAAAATATGAAAATGAAAAAAAATTATTAAATTAAAATGTATTTTTGTTTATTTATTTTTATTTTATTTTTTTTATTAAAAAATAAATTAATATAAAATCTTTTTAATATATAAAAAAAAATATTTTTATATATATAAAAAGATATGTTCTAATCATTTTTATTTTTATTAATTTTATATTTTTTTTAATTCATTTTATTCTTTTATAAGTTCATATTTCATTCCAATCCTTACTAAAGCTTCAAAATAAGTTTATAAGAAGACAATTGGACTTATACCCATCATAAATATTCCTCTTTTATATGTAATTAATTTTGAAACTCCAATTAAAAAATTTCTATCTTAAAATTTTGTAACCAGAATTTAGCTGATTAGTATAATCCTAAAAGGGTAAGATTCCCCATAATATTTAATCCTATTTGATATTTAATTATACTTTTATCGTCATCATCTAATTCTTTAAATTTATATATTTTTTAATTGAAAGTACTTTCTATTTCTCGACGTTTAAATTAATGTAATTAAATGAATTGTTTATGAATTTAATTTATATTTCCTTTCATATAAAATAATATTTTATCATTCAATTCTTTCTCATTCATTTTCCTTTCCTTTTAATTTTATTTTTTCTTATTATTATTTATAAAAAAATATATATAAATGGTATTTTTAATTATTTTTAATATAAATTTATAAATAAATAATATTAATATGAAAAAAAAAATCAGTCCCGAAAGATGGTATTATGATAAATTAAATCATAGTTAATCATAATCATATTTATGCATCATAATTTTTAATTTTATAATTATAAAATTTTCATTTGATATAATATATATTTAATTAATTAAATTATATAAAAAATCTATATATCTTTATTTTTATATAAATATATTGCTATATATGTTTTTTATTATTTTATATAATTAATTTTATGGGTTATTACTAAATATATATATATATATATATAAATATATATATATATATATATATATATATATATATATATATATATATATAAATTTAAATTAATTTAATTTGATAAAAATATATTAACTCTTTAACAAATCAAATATTATGAAGTGAATAACTTTTTTTCTAAAATTGTTATTACTTTTAAATTTTTACTAATGATTAAGAAGTTTAATATTTGTTTTTTTTTTTTTTTTTATTATTATTATTATTATTATTATTATTATTATTATTATTATTATTATTAATATTTTTAGATATTAACGGTAAAATCTATAATTATTTTATTGTTAATTAATCATAATTTTAATTTTAGTTTTATTATTTTTTTTATTGAAATTAATTATAGTTTTCTTAAAATTTATATTAAATTTTTTATTTTTGTTAATCTTTATTTTTTTTTATACAGGTAGTATAATGTTTAATCTTTAAATATTATCTGATATTATTTTTAAAATACTAAAGCTTTCTTATTTTTATTATGTTTAAGAATTTATTTCTTAATTTAAATGTTTACTATCTTTATTCTCTTATAAATTATTTAATTATTTTTGATTAATTAATTACTATATAGTTTCAATTTCATTTTTTTTTTTATGTTTCTATCCTTTATTTAATTGATTTACTTGTTTAATTTATTCCAAAATAAATTCTATGTTTATTTTTTTATCTTTATTTTACACAAAATAACTTACTTATCTTTTCAATACTCCTTTTTCGATTGTTTTCTAAGGTTTTTTTTCACTACTCATTTATTCTAATTAATCAATATTTATTTTATTTTGAAATATATTAAAATTAAGCAATCTTTTTTCATAAATTTGATTTCTTTTTTATTTCGACAAAACTCCTTCTTTTATTTTCTAATACTCTTTATCATTTTTTTATAATAAATTTTAAAAATCCTAAAGGAAATTAAAATCATATTAACATATATATATATATATATATATATATAAATATATAAATATATAAATACATTTTTTAATATTCCAAATAAAATAACATCTTAAGAATATACTATAGATGTATATTAATAATTTTTTTATAATAATGTTTCTTCTAATCCTAAATACCATCCTATAGAAACAATAGAAGTTTCATATTTAATTTTTTCTTTATGTATTTTTTGGAATCTGTTCTTACGATTATTTTATAATAAATATTCTATTTATTTTTATTATTTAACATCACCTGATTTTATAAAATAAATATATTAGATTTCTTGGTTTTCTTATGTTATTATATTATTTCTTTTAAAGCTAAATTGTTTTGATTTCCAAAATAAATTCAAGGCAATATCTTTATTTAATTGTTACAAAATTCCTGATTTATAAAACAATTCGAAATTTTATTAATCTTAACTAAATTCAAAATCATCTATAATTAATATTTTTTTTTTTATTTATAAAAAAAAAAAAAACTTAATATTTATTCATAATTTTTCTAATCTAAAAATGCAATATGTGTATTTTCTATAAAATTCATTTAAAAATCATTATAATTTTTTTATTTTTCAAATAATTACCCAAAACTTTAATTATTTTAATATTATTATATAACATTCTAATTTTCAATAATTTAACATTTTCCTTTTATTATTGAATAAAGAGAATTATTTAATTAAATTTTTTATCCTTTTTCATAATATTTATGCCTTAATCTTTATATACAATTGCAATAAATTTATTTGTTTTTTATTTTTTTTAATTCTTGTACATTTTCTGTCAATTTCATTAGTATAATTAAATCTTCAATGCTCCTTTTTTCACCATCTTTTCTTAAAATAGAAATAGCTATCTTTTATTTTATATATTAAAAAAGTTTAAATAAAATAAATACATCACATATTTAATCATTATAATCATCTAAAGATACAAATAATTATAATTCACTTAATAAGTCTAAGTTTAAATATTTCTAAACAATATTATCATTATTATTAATATCTATATATTTTTATATTGTATTTTAAATAGAAATAATTGAATTTTCATATTATTAATAATTTTCCATTTTTTTTTTTATTTTTAATTTGCACATTAATTAAATTCTAATAAAAGTATAAATTAATCATAAGAAAAGATATATAAAAATTAAAATTAACGTAGTTATTAAAAATATATAATTTACAAAATAGATTTTATTTTTCTCACATATCTTTATTTTTTTTTATATTATATAAAAATAAAATAAAAAAAATATTATTAAAAAAATAGAAAAAAAATAATAAGAATAAAAGATTATGAATAATAAAAAAATATGATTTACGAAAAAATAAAAAATATATGTAAAATATTATATAAAAAAGATATTATATGGATATAAATATATATATATATATATATATATATATATATATATATTATAATATTTATATATAATATATAAAATATATTTATTAAATACATTTATTTTAATTACATATTTATATTTATACAATATTTTATTAATATTATTATCTACTGCATTAATATATTATTATTTTAATATATATTTATTTTTTAATTTTATTTATCAATAATATATATTATATAAAAATATATATAGAAATAGAAATAAACAATTGTATGAATAGTATGAATAATATATTCAATAAAATTTTTTAAAAAATAAACAAATCACAGTCTGAATGTTAGAAATTATTATAAAAATGTACTATTTTAACTGATAATTTTGAAACAATTGACATTAAAAATTTAATAATAATTCTTTAATATTTATAAAATGCAAAAGATAATGATTAATCCGAAATACAAATATCCGAATTTTTCGATTTTATATAAACATAAGATAGTTTTGTATATAAAATAAAATTAAAACTTTTATATTTAATCCACAAAGGCATAAAATAAATCGGAATAGATTTTTCTGAATTTTTTTTAGAAAAAAACCCTACAAAACTTCGAAATAACAACAATAATTTATTAAATATAAAAAATGAAAAAAGTATAGAATTTTTAATTGAAGAATATATAATAAAAGATTATTATGATTATTTAATGCGAATATGTTCAAATATTTAGTTATATATAACATGTGTTTAAGGATCTTTTTAATATACATAAAATAATACTTAAGTTAATAGTTTTTTAATTTTTAATAATGAATTAAAAGAAGCACAAAAAAACAATGAAAATTTAAAATAAATAATACTTATGGCTTATAAAGTGAGTAATTTATTAAATTTTTTAATAAAAAATTTACAAAAAATAAACGATTTTTGTTAAAATTTTAATGATGTTTGGATTTTAAAAAGTATTAAAAAAACAATTTATTCCGATTGTGTGAGTTATTACAATTTTTTGGATTTTTAAGTGTTTTTTTTATAAGAATTTTATGAATTAATGTAAGAGAGAGATT